AATTTTGAGGTTTTTCCCCCCCCCCCCCCCCGGTAGATTTCCATTAGGGTCAGGATTTCATCCCAGGTCCTCGAACTTCGGTATCACGTTTTGAATTGAGCTTATATACTCAGGAAGTAGAACGGTCTCTGACTAACCCACTATTCTTGAACCCACTTTCACAAGAGACAGGAAGACCACTAACCTCAGCCCTTCAGAACAAGTGCAAAATCCACTTTTGTACACTAGCCTCTTGGACTTAATTAGCAAGAGTCTTTTTTTTTTTTTTTTTTTTAAAGAGAGAGCCAATCTTTACCAGAAACTAATTTGTTTTTTCATTTCAGTGGCTGAACAAGCTGAGTCCATTGATAACCCATTGCATGAAGCTGCCAAAAGAGGTGGGTGAGTGGTTTGGAATCTGACGCTCCTAGATTTATGATTTAGAGAATTTAAATTTTTTAATGCTGGAATGGGGGCAGGGGGTGCATATGTGTGCACATGCCAACAAAAAGCATTTGAATTTCAAAGACCATGTGCTGCGCTGCATATTTTGGCTGACTAACTGGAATATTTTGAATAAATTATTTGGCATCTACATTCTGAATTTAGTAGTGGAATTTAAAAAAAAAAGGCAGGGGGAGAAGAACAGTTTGTCAAATTGTAAATGCCAATATGTAATGTGTACTCCATTAGTAATAGCTTTAAGGTCGGGAAATATTGTCTTTTGAACAAGATGTGTACTCCATTAGTAATAGCTTTAAGGTGGGGAAATATTGTCTTTCGAACAATGCTTAATGCTTAATGGTAGCTGGATTATTTTTGCCCCATAACCTGTAGCAATAAGTATTATTATCCACCACTATTTCTAATGAGTTTGAGAAACAGAAATTAAGTTCTAACATAACATAGTATACATACAGAACTAAATGCCCTTAAAGGTTCTGCTCCTCAGTTCTTAAAACGAAATCTCTATTGGAAACAGTGACTATGCAAAACAAAAACAAACAAAAACAAATTAAAAAAACCAGGGTATTTTTTCCTATTTGTTTCAGGCAACTTGAGCTGGTTGCGAGAATGTTTGGACAATCAAGTTGGTGTCAATGGTTTAGACAAAGCTGGAAGCACAGCTCTGTACTGGGCTTGCCATGGTGGGCACAAAGGTACAGTATAACACTCAACTCTACTGATCATGTTCTAGTTTCTCCTTTTGTTCAGCTAATAGACCAGTGACTACTTAACGTTGCATTGGGTATCCAAGTCTATAACTTTAATGTAATTAAGGATAGCAAAACAAACAAAAGTTGAAGTCAGGAGAGCTGATCTCAGAGGGTTTTTTAATATATACAGTACATAGGACATCTTTAAATCCTTTAGTTGTAAAAGCAGACAGACATTCTTAAATCACAAAAATGAGAGATGAAATGCAGGCTGCTGAGGGGAAGTGGTGTTTGTCACTGAAGTTTACATTACTGTTCCACTTCTAAATCTGTTTGTACTGGTTGAAGCTCTTAACTGGGATTCTCTGGTCCAGCAACATCCATGGTCCAGTATGGATGTTGCAGGACCAGAATGTCCCAGTGGAGGACCAGTAGCAAGGAACCCTGCGAGCTGACTGCAGAGCTGTCTAGCGTGTGGCAGCAGGTCTGCCCAGGGGGGTTGGGAGACGTGTGTGGCTGCCTGGAGGGATTCACGGCATATGGCTGCCTGGTGGCTTCTGGAGCCCCAGCACAGCACGCATGACTGCCTGGTGGTTCCTCCTGATGGCTGCCCAGCAGGAAGTGAGGAGCGGGCTGGGAGGCCAGTGAGCCAGGCAACTGGACCAGCAGCAGGGGATCCAAAAGTGACCTTCCCTGGTTTGGCAAAATCCCTCATCTGGGACAGGTCATGTCCCGAGGGTGCTGGACCAGAGAGGTCTAATCTATAGTGCTTTCTCAAAGTCATCAAAGGCTTTACTGATATGGATTTTTTCTAACTGATTAGGTTTGGTTCCTTTCTCTGTGCAAGCCTGACTTCAGTACTGGATTTGGAATACAAGAAAGCAAGTTTTGGTTTCATGCAGTTCTCCTTTTTTTCTTCCTTTTACATAGATATAGTGGAAGTGTTATTTACCCAACCGAATGTAGAACTAAATCAACAGGTAGGAAGTTTATCCTGTATCCGTTCATACATTTACAGTGCTGCTATTGTTATTTCTTAATGTAAGCTGATTTTTTCCCCCTATGTTCTAATCCTGTTACTTTTCCCTTTATCTCCACAGAACAAATTGGGAGACACAGCTTTGCATGCTGCTGCTTGGAAGGGTTATGCAGATATTGTAGAGATGCTACTGGCAAAGGGTAAAGCTCTTCACCACAATGTCAGTACTCTGTGTGGCAAAACTGCTTTCTGTGTGGAAATCACTGCTGAGTCTGTAGTTTGCATATTTTACAAATTTGTTATCTATAACCTGGTCATGGTTCCTAGCTAGTCCAGCGTGTCTCTGTAAACCATGCAAACCTTGAAGTTAGTCTGTGCAACAGGATGACCTATGCAGGATAAAATTTCACTTGGCTGTGGCAGTCAAATATTGGTTTATAAACCTAGTAGAGCATCAGAGTACCTAATAGAGCTTCACAGCATCTAAATAGAAGCTCACTGGGCATCTTTCAGTTGACTTTGGATAAATCCCCCCATTAGCCTTTTACCACTGGTCATTCTGACCAGACTACTTGTGTGAGGAGTGGTTTCATTAATTATATTATATTATATTATATTATATTATATGTATAGTAGGTTACTAGGACAGTATTTTTGAACATAATTGGAATTTTTTTTCCCAAAGGGGCAAGAACAGACTTAAAAAACAATGAGAAGAAATTGGCTCTGGATATGGCTACCAATGCTGCCTGTGCTTCCCTGCTTAAAAAGAAACAAGGGAAAGGTATTGTTTGTTTCCTGCTTTCTTTGTTCTGTGTCTCCCCAAATACATAAGTTGACCCCAGAAACAGAAATCACTTTTCTCCTATCGCCACCATCTTGCTCCATTCTCCTCACATATTCCCCAGACCCCTGCTGGCTTGAGAAAGGGAGTTATGCTCACACATGCTCTGTATTGTTAGTCAAAATATAATATTCCCACAGCTCATCCATTTTAGCTTTTCTAGTTCCACAATCATATATTCAGTGTGCAAAACTTTACATTCCCAATAGAGAGACTTAAATTGTGTCCAGCTTTCTCTTCCTGGCACGCAAAGCTTTTCAGGCAGCCAGGCTCCCGGAGCTGCATATGAAGAGCGCTGAATGGGCATGCCAACTCCTGAACTTTGTCCAACCAATATCTAGATGCACAGGGCCAATGTGAGGAGTGTGCAGTCAGTTCCCCTGCACATAGACCCATGCTTTATTATTGGCCCCACCTGCCCGGGTGGCATGTCCTACCTGAGGCACATTACAAACCTACAGGCTGTTCATGGTGGCAGTCACCCCCATTGCTTGTGGGAGAAGAGGAGGCTTCCAGTGGTGAGAGCCCTAGCCCCCCACACTTCGAGCTCAGGAGCTCTGGGCACAACTGAGGGAGCAGCCATCGCAGCCCCACATGGGCAGAGCCAGAGCCCTAGGCCCATTGTGCAGCTGCCGGCAGCCTGGGCTGCAGTGCCCCATTCAAACTAGGTCTTTCAGATAATCACACCAGCCCTGTATATGGGATGTTTCATCTGAAGGAAATGTGACCATTTGACCAGCTCCTGGCTAGGCACTCACCTAAAAATATCCTAAGCCCTAGGAAATTCCACACACATTTTTTAATTTAGAGTTTAAGTGTGTCTACCCACAGCACCAAAATTGAAACTGAAAAGTTTAGTGTTATGCCTGATTTTCTCCCTGGCTAAAGCAGAATGGTTTCTTTTCAGATACAATGCGAACAATAAGTAATGCGGAGGAATACCTGGATGATGAAGACTCCGATTAACTTCCTTCATAATGTCTTAAGAACTATAACCTCTGCTGCCTGTCATTCCCAAATCATATCTTTGCAACTGTAAAAAAAATAAATATCTTGAAGAGTAATGCAGTCTTGCAATCTCTTACTAGAACATGTAAACAGAGGGTGAAATCTCTTGTATAGGGAGTACCCACCAAAGCCATGAATTGCCAAGTTTTAAATCAAAGTTCCCTTGAAATCCTCATATTCTATTCTGATCTCTTTCCCCATCTTGCAAGGGACTTAGCTCTTTAAACATGACGGTGTCTCAAGCTATCCCAGCAGGTACCGAGTATCTCTGGAATGCACTCAATCTTAGCTATCCTCTGCATCAGCATAGTTCTTCTTCTACTGGCAGCACTCCGAAGCACCTCCTGGAGAGCGCTTTCTTTTGGATGGGTAGGGAAATTGCTTCAAATGGCAGGATGAGCATTACTTGATGGGGGACCCCCTTCAGGTAAGAGATGGGATGATGCAGCGGTGAACGATCATTCTCTCCTCCACAAAGCAGGAAGAAATAATGTAAGGCTTGATTTTATTTCCTCTATATGGTAGAGGGTGGGTGAGGTAGAATGGCAGGCGAATAGCTATTCTAAGCAGTTTCCTTTTTTACTGATATAGATCCAATCCTGAAATAGGGATGTAAGTGACATCTTTATCAGAGGCAGCAAGGGGAAGGGGGGAGACAGGAGCCGGTGCTGTGGGGAGCTGGCTTAAAAGCCAGTTCCCTCCCCAGTACCGTCACTGCGGAAGAGAGAAGGTGGCAGGGGAGGCAGAAGCGCAGCAGGAAAAGAGCGCGAGTGGAGACTGAAGCTCACGCTGGTCCGACTTCTGTGCCTCTGCCTTTTAAATGTAGTGAGAGCCACAGGCAGCTCTTAATACATTTAAAAGGCAAAGGCGCAGCCAGGATAGTGAGTTGCCCCATCCCACCCCTTATTGACTAATTAAGTAGTCAATGGAATTCCATCAACTACTCGATTAGCTGATTAATTGAAAATTTAATATCCCTATCCTGAAATCCTTCCTTGAGCAAAATTGCCTCTGGAATCAGAATTTTGCCCCAGAAATAAACTCAACTTTCTGACTGGATTACTTTGCTGTTTGACTTGTATTGGTGTTGGAATCATTAGCATTGAAGTAAGGGGGAAATATTTTTCTATTTATCCTGCCAAAAAAATTTACTGATCTTTTGCTTTATTTTTTAAAAGTGTTCTTGTGTTTCTCTAAAGTACTTTACCTCAGAGCTGAAAAGTTTTTGAAAATGTTTTATATTAAACCAAAAGTGTATTGAGAAGATTGCATAATCTGAATAAACCATTTAAAACACTTGAAGTTATGGTCTGTTCCAGTGTATTCAATAGAGCTGGCAAAAGTAAGTTGAACTACTACTTTTCAGTCTTAATGTGAAAATACTCGATGGAAGGTACATATTTCAGTAGAAGGATGCTTTTAAACAGCTTTAGTCAAGGCAATTGACTATGCTGAGAAGTACTTAATATATTCCGTCATGAAGTATTATGAGAAGTATTTTATTTTGTGTGTATTAGCAAGCTGAGCAGTTCCAACATCACAAATTTTAAAGCAAAAAGCTTGGCAATATCTTATACAAGTTGGGAAGAGGAAGGAACTCAAATCAGAGAATTGTAGAGTATTTCTGTTGACCTACATCACTCCATGAACGTTTCCACTTCTATAAAACTGTTGAGTCATGTTGTTTCCTTTCAAGTATAGAGGAAATGGCAGCATAACAACACTGGTTAAGTATGACTCAGACAAAGGTCTGTCCTGTTCTACATTGCGTATGATTGTGGTTAACTAGCCATACAGCTAACAGCACCTGGACAACTCGTTTGCTACAACAGCCCTCATCTACACTGAAGGAGGCTGTGTCAAAAACTATCAGAGGTGTTAAAATGACACCCTCCTCTCCCCTTCCCCCACCCCCGAAAGACAAATTTTTGTTGACAAGTACTTGTGAACAGCAGTTTGTCAGCAGGAGCACCCTCCTGCCAACAAAGCTAACAACCACCGATTGGGAGTGAATGTATTTTGTCAGCAAAAGAGCCAAACAGCAGCTACGCTGTCCAACTCGCAGCCATGTTGCTAATAGCAGTGTAGACACAGACTAAGACAAAATTTCTGTTGGGCTATGTCTACACTACAGGGGTTTTGTGCAAAAATGGCCAGTATTGCAAGAAAACCCGTGGAGCGTCCACACCTCAAGTGCATTTTTGTTCAAGAACATTTACAATGAATCAACAGAACAGATGTGTTTTTGCAGTATAGGTATTCCTCTTTTTATGAGGAATAACTCCTTTTTGCACAAGAGCTCTTGCACAAAAATGTGTGTGTGGACGGGAAAAGACTGTTTTTGCACAAAAAACCCAATCGGAAGACGCACAGGTGCCCTGGTGGCCATTCTGTTAATGGAAATCAGAGCTTTCTTCCGAGAGAGCGCCCATGCAGTTTGGACACTCTCTTCCACGAAAGCGCATCGCTTTTCCGATGCACTTTTGCAGTGTGGACACGCTCTTGCGCAAAGAGCTTACACAGATTTTTTCTTCCACGAAAGCGCATCGCTTTTCCGATGCACTTTTGCAGTGTGGACACGCTCTTGCGCAAAGAGCTTACACAGAAGATTTTTTCCGCAAAAAGCCTGCAGTCTAGACTTAGCCTTGTTCATGGGTGCTTAACCCCACAATATGAACGAGAAAGTTTTGCCACAGCAAAGTGCACATGCAAATGCTGCTTTGTTGGCAGGAGTGCTATCCTGCTGACAAAGTGAAACCCACCCATTGGGGCAGATGTATTTTTTTGGCAAATGCCAACAAACAGCATTCTCACACACTGACTTAGCGACAGAGTTCTGTCGACATAATCATGTAGCTAAAAACTGTATAGAGCAGAAACACACTTAAGTTAGCATGCTATGGGAGTTGCTTACAATGATAATTCTGCTGTTCTCTTCTCTCCTTCTTGAAGCAGGATTTCTCCAGTAGAACTTGTGTGGGTCTCCCCTTATAAGTTGCTCAGGTACAGCTAAAAAGAACATCCATCTGGAGATATCATTTTAAGAAAGAAAGAAAAAAAATTACCACTCACATGCCCAGGAGGTTAGCAGCCACATATCAGAGTAAGAAAGGCTATTCACCTACAAGTCCCCATGGAACCATTTCATGCAAAACCACCTTTAAGGATGTTTGTAAGGTTCTAGAGAAAGAGGAATGGGAACAGAGACATTAAATTGGACTCAGAAGACTAATTTTAAATTGCATTGATCAAGACGGTCAAATTTCCCCTCCTAAAATAATTTTAAAAACCCACAAGATTATCAGGCAACAACTGATAATAATTTGATTTTAGAAGGAGTGTTAGATTATTACCTGTCTTTATAAAAAAAAAAAAAAAAAAAAAAAAAAGCAACATTTTCTTTGAAAAACCATCACCACATTTTAGTAGCCACAGCTGCTCAATACCACAAGATGTGTACAAGATCCAGAGATTTAGATCTGCAGTGTTATGTGTAAGCAGTCTCTGGAGATCTTCAGTCCTCAAATCTGACTTATTTTAGTGCTGAATGACCCAGAAACCAGAATAAAACTCTGGAAACTGGGAGAGATAGTGTTCAGGGTGAAAACATGCAAAAGGGTGTCAGTTTTCCTCAAACCAGGCAGCACAAGCTGGCTGAAAGATCTGGAACTTCTGTAAAGCTAGCTGGCTTTAGGCTTGTAAGAAAGCTAGTTTATTTTTAAAAGGTGGCTCTGAATTTAAAACTCAAACATAATGCTCTCTCAAGAGACACGCCTGCCTATTTTGCACATGCCTTTCCCACCTTCAGCTGGTCTCCAGATGAGAGTTCTGTGCTTTGGGACAGAGGCTGTATTATCCTCTAGGTTTGCAGAGCATCTTGTTCATTTGGGGCTCTCCCAGAATCAAAGCAGGGGAGGAAGGAAGGAGGACCATACTTTTGCTAAACACACAAATTCAATCTGCAAAAGGTAGGGCATATCAAGATTAGAGGATTCTTCTCTTGAGGATAAAAACATTTTTTTAATTCAAAGTGGATTTTTATTTAATTTTGGTTAGAGGATTCTTCTCTTGAGGATAAAAATATTTTTTTAATTCAGAGTGGATTTTTATTTAATGTTGTTAAATAAAACTGTTTAAAATGAAACCTAAATTTAATATGTTAAGGCCTAAACTGCTTACCTCTTCAAACTTTTAGATAAACAAAAGACAGCCTTTTTTAATTAAATGCCTCTTACATTAGCTTGACACATTGAGGGGGAAAGTTAACTATCTAGCAAATAAGCAATATATCATCATGTCTAACATACCAAGATGTACAATTAATCATCTGAATATTGATCTATATAATTTCTTAAATGGATAGCATTTAAGAGCAATGTATACTCTCCTAGGTAGCAGCGAGATGTTCTAAAACTAGATGGAAGGCTCCATTTAGTTGAAAAACAATGTTACATGGTTATGTCAACCAATGAGAATGCACCTTGTTTCAGAAGGTAATTATAAATGGAAGGGGTTTTTAAAATAACACACACACTGATTTAGTTTCCGCTTGGTGATTTAAAATCAACTTACCCTAGTTAAGCTGTTAAAATATAAGTTCAGAATAATGAATAGAGCTGAAATTTTAGATAGATCTTGCTTCAGCCAATTTAGGGCCCATAGCCACAAAGGAATGTAGACATCTGAGTTGGGCATTTAGACACTCCCTGTGATCTATAAAACTTGCATCGAACCCTGTAGACACCAATGTTCACTGAGGGCCTAAATTTTCAGGCTGGAAGTTCCTTTGCTACATAAATGTCTGCATCTTAACAAGCACACTGCTGCCTCAACACCTAAGCCGCGTAAATTGATTAACCTTACCAGACCTTAGTCCATCCCATGCTTTTCAGCACACTGTCCTACCCACATTCTAAATAAGTGTGTATCTGCTTATCTCCTGTGTGGGATCAGTCCAGTAGGTGAGCTCAGAGTTTGGCTAGATTTTTACTGGACCCCAAATCCAGTTGGCAGTGGTAGAGGTGCTACCTTCCTTATAACTTTCAACTCAGGGTTAGAGCAGTTGCTTGTTATGTAGGAAAATGAAGTTTAATTCTCCTCTGACTGAGCATGAGAAAAGATTTGGACTAGGATCTCCCACCTCTAGGAAAATGCTCTGAGCTACAAGGTGTGGATCTAGGCAGGGTTTACCCTTAGGAGGGGTATTTGCCTCTCCCGTGGACTGGCTAGACCCTGCCTCCCATGCTGACTTTTGTGGATCACATTCTTAGACACCTCCCCTCCCCATGCATTTTATCGGAGCTTATGAACTCATGGGCGGTAGGTGAAGATAGGGCTGGAGGAGGCAAGCCTCCAGCCCCGCCCCTTCTGCCCAGGCCCCACCCCCACACCAGCCAACTCCCCCACCACACACACCCCCTCACAGCACCAGAGGGAGGGAGAAAGGCATGCAGCCCCAGCGCACCAGAAAAGGGGCGAGGGTACACATCCCCAGCCTCCCCAGACTGTCCATTGCCTTCCCCCACCTAGCATACCTGCCGGCTATGCACAGATTGGAGTGCTTAGAAGTTAGGCATTACTATGTTTTAGTCCTTAGTGATTTATCCTAAGCTACTGTCATACGGCTTTGGCAGGGTGTGTTTTTAAGTACCCACTCAACGTTCTGTCCTCAAATGTCTGATCTCCATGAAGTACAATTTGTAGTCCTTATAGTTTAGGAGACAGTATGGAGAAAGAGATGAAGTCACATTACATACTCAGATCTTGTTGCCCTTTAACATTATCTGCAGCTCAGGGCAGCATTTGACAGCTGCTAATAGTTTTAAATGTAAATAATATTTCATATGTTGCAGCTTTATACATGCTTTTTTTTAAGTCCAGGACAAATTATGTGCTGTAGAGTCAGTTTCTGATCTTTTGATACAGAAGGAATCGGCAGCACAGATCATTACCAATTACATTTACTTTGTTATACTCCTTGCATTTAAAAGTTAAACTAATTTCATTTTACATTAAACAAGCTGGTAGAGGACACCTGATGGGGGGCAGACTGAGTACAATGGTTTCAGCAGTGTTACTGAGCATGCTCAGTTCAAGCCAAGCAGCAAATGCAGAAGGGGAACTGATTCCATTCGCCCTCCCCACACACATATCACTTCTTTCTAGGGCTAATAAGGTACTGGAAAACTTTAGTTTTTGGCAGATTGCTAAATTATTAGCTGACAGCACGGTGTCGAATGCCTATACAGGCAGTTCCCGGGTTACGTACAAGATAGGGACTGTAGGTTTGTTCTTAAGTT